CGAATGATATCACAGATGTTTTATATCAATACTAAGCTACTGGTTTCCCTTGGAAACTAATTTTGTCAAAAAATTGGACTTTGATCGTTTTTCCCCGTGGCCCTTCATTTGCGTGATTAAACTTATTTTTTCGATATCGCATTTCACTTATAAGATCGTTATATACTGTTCACAAGGTGTTAGTTGTCAAGTAAGTCATCATGGCATATTAATTATGACTACGATAAACAGTTGATGTTAGATTGAAAAGTAACAGCTATAAGATTCATGATTTAATAAATCATATAAGTATATTAAAAAATAGGTTACCATTTCAGCATTTAAAATATATTTCTAAGATATTTTGGTATTTATTTACACTGGAGTATATAACTGTTGACTAGCTTTACTCTTTTGCTTAAGAACCAATCTATATGTTTAAGGTATTTAAAATATTCGTTTTAGGAGTATCGTTTAGGATAAGTGTAAATAGACTTCCAAACGAAAACTTAACCTTATCTAAATCACCCGGACAGAAATATAATTAGTTTAAAAAGGAGCTATGATGTTTCCAAATCAAATACAAACTTATCATTGCCCCCCCCCCCCCAAAAAAAAAATGTCATAGTGATTAAGATTAAAATATTTGTTCCTATTTTAATCGCTACTTCTCCAGCTATAAAGCAATACATTCATAAACCTAGGAGTGTGATGCTAGCCGAGAAGTTTTCAAGTTAACATCTTGGGCTTTGCTTTGAGAGGGGCGCGTTTAATACTCGGCAAACTCAAATAAATAATCTAAAAAATGAACCGATAAAAAATTAATGAAAATCAAATATAAAAAAATACAAACAAAACTCTCAATCCCACATGTTACCTGTGGGTGTAAATCTTTTTAGACTGTATCATATACTAACCAACACAATGTATGTTTTATCTATGACTGTATTAAACAGTATGTTTAAAAGCTTCATTGAATAAATGTGTATTGTTATTAATAGGATCTGTTCGTTAAACTTACTTTTATACGTAAAAACAGGGACTTCAGACCATCAAGTCTCTAATGAGCTCGGGAGTTATGTGTTACAGCAAAACAACAAATATTTATGATACATTTAATTCAATTGTTAATATAAACCGTATAACAATGGCAATAATTGTAATGATTGGTTAGGTTTAGATTAACTTCTAACCTACAACTTCATGTATAATTTAAATTCATTTTCATTTAGCTCCTAAGCTGTTATATTCAATATGATAAATATATTTACTCAGAAGGTTGTTTACATGTTTCGGCTTGTATCCATCATTGAAAAAACATCGCAGATGCATGGTGAAATCCTTGTCATTCGTTTGCCACTAAAATTACATACACACGAACATACACGGACGGGACGAATACTTAAAGGAATCGAATAAAAATTATTAGTAGACCTATTAATTAAAATAAATATACGGTCAGGACGCGCACCATGGTGAAGGTCAGGATACAGGTCAATAATCCTTAGGGGTTTTGTTGAGGGGGGCAGGATTAGGGGGGGAAAGCATTGTGTCGTGTGATTGTTGAGAAGGTCCTGTGAGCGGAAATTAATACTGAAATTACCTGGATTTGCACTTCTGATTAAAACAGTCGGGCCCGCTGCTTTGAAATAGGTAACCTGTTTGATATTAAATGCTTCTGGATTATTGATCCAACAGCAATAGATAGTTTGTAATTAAACATGGAACACTATAGGACTGCCTTTATTCGCACCTTATGAAAGTAAGGTTTACTGTGTTAACTATTTTGTGTAAAATAAAGTGATATTCAGCAAATGTCGAGGTTTTGTTTAAATATATAAATAAATAATAATTCAAATCAATAATATTGCACAAAAGTGTATCTTCAAATGTAAGATTATAACCGCCAGGTTATATGATAAAAATATATAATATATATAACAAATTCCTGCCGAAAAGCTACGAATTTTAAATCTTTGGTAAATATACTTCGTATCATTCAACAATGGTCTAATCATTAAATGACCATTATTTTTATTTCCTAACACCTAATTATGAAATATCCAATAAAGTTAATTTACTGCTTAAGAGTATGCTAATAATAATATAAACTAAATAAATTAGATTTTTATCAAATGCTGTTCAGTCTTAACTTTTAGTATATCCTCCCTTTTTGCTTTCAACTTATAAATTTATTTTTTTATTCATCAACGAATTACACAAAATCAGTTTTGACATCTGAACTATGTCTGAACAATGTATTCAGTTTTAACAATAAGAAACATTTTTAATTGACAGAGAATTCAAACTCAAAGCAAAGTATTGGCACTACACAGTGTTTTCCTAAGATTGTGTTGTTTTTGAGATTTGTTTACTACCTCAACATATTTTAGGAGGCAAAACGTAATATAATACTGCACTTTGTAATACCTATAGACTTAAAACCAAGCAAATGACTCTATGAAACCTTACCTCACACGTCCATTGATAGAGCTTAGTAATTGGCAACTTAGAATTGCTAAACACTAGCCTTAGGTGACAAGCAATCCTGACTGTGGCAGCACATCAAAGCTGCATTAACAACCGCAGTGCTAGTCAATCAGCTAACTAATATTCAAACTATGTAACAAATATTCAAACAGCTTGGCATTCCAAATATCCACTATACTTGTAACGATACTCGTATAGTTTTTGGAAATATATTCACAAAGTGAGATAGAAGTTTGGGCTAAGTTGAGTTTACCACGTAACTAATGTTGTGTACTGTATTTGTTTAGTTGTTTTGAAATTGATAATTTTTGACGAAATGGAGGATTAAATAAGCTTATTATAGCAATAATTGAGATTAGCTTATTGATAGTTTTCAATCCAATATTTTTTTTATTTTTTTTACTTGGCTTAGTGTTTATGCCCTAGAAAAGATCATTCCATGGATATACAATAGTATGGATTAAAATTGTATTAAATAATGTAGGCAATTTTAGTTACTGCAGTTTCACTTCCTTGTTATTCCTCCGAACACTAATTATTTGCTCATTCTTGCATTATTCCAGACGAGAATATAGATTTATGACAAGAAGAGGGGGACCTTCCTACAGCAAGATAACTAATTGGCTCATAACTCTACGCTAGTCAGATGAGAGCCCCATTAATTGTAATATAGGAAACTTTGATAATACTCTCTTTGTCTTTTATTTAGGATTATAAGAGATTATATTACAATCTTTAGAACTGACAAAGATATATTTTATTTGTTTAAAACTGCAATATTTAATCACGTACCATAATTAACAAAATATAAGTTTTGAAATAGTATGTCTTACGCCAGATTAAATCAAGAAACTTTATCTATCTTTGATTCTAGGGTGTAATTAAAACTATCTAATATTGTAGGCTCTGTTTTTTTCTGTGTTTTGAATCTGTTATTATCTACTGCAACTGTACTAGGAATAAGTCAGTAATTGACTCTGTGATGTATAAAAATGGCGATTCAAGCGAGTTACCGACATTCTCAAGTGTAAGAAACAACTAACAACTATTCAACAAAGTGATGGTTATATATTAAATATTCAAATTGACATTTTAAGGATGCTCTTGCTCATGCTTCCTGTGTTAAAGAATCAATATTGGTTGTGGATTGAATTGGCATAGTTTTTGTAACATTGACAGAGATATATCAACAAAAATACCGCAGAGAACATGGATACATAAAATACATTTAATAATTTCATTTTAACAGTCAAAACAGTCAAAGTTTTAGTATACATTTTTTTTAGTTAAATGAGACTTTACAGATACAGGCAACTGGTCACGCGTGTGTGTATGTTTTAACCTTGCGTTGGGTTGTAAATAAAATAAATGGTATCAGCAATCTGATTCATACTTTCCCCCGTTATTTTGTCAACAACCCTTATCCGCAAATGGGAAGCAGTGTCAGCAACTTTGATAATTTATTGGACAAATCACAACAATAGTAATAACTTTTATACCGTAATTTTACTTTAATCGGGGTGGTACTACCACGTTTAAAGTTAAATAGGCTTTAACATACAATCAATTTCAATCAAAATAGAACAAATATTTTTTTTTTCATTTTATATGAACTTATAGATTTTTATATAGAAAAATCACAAAAGTTGCAATCACTTTGAACCGTTATTTTTACAAAAATGTGGGTTATCACAATTTGTTCAGGGTCAAAAGGAGTTTAATATACAAAATTTTAATCAAAATCGTTTGTGACAATAAAAAAAGATATATTCGTTAATTTGTTGGTTTTTAAGGAGAAAACAAGCAAAACACCAAATTTCTAAAAAGATTTTACGAGCGTGTAGAGATACCGCGATTTTTTACCCGCGTACCAAGTATTATCAACATTCGACCACAGTCTGTAGCTCTGTATACATCCACAGACACACACACAGACAAGGGGACAATGTTGAAGAAAACAACAGTGTCTTCTTTTACTATGGTATAGGGAGAGAAAGTATAAATGACTAAACGTCATCTTAACATATGATTGGTATGCTGAAATTAACACGAAAGAAGACCTTCAATCAGAAATCGTTTGTTTTAACAGACCACAGAATAGAGTTTCCCGTTTTAATTTAACTACCTACTTTACAAATTAATAATAACCGCAAATGTAGAGAAAAAAACGGGGTTTTGCTAAAAGATGTACTGTATTTAAAAAGACTTAAGCTAGCCAATATTAAAATTACCCATAGATATATTTAAATATTTAAAGTTATGCATTCAAATCTGATAAACTCACTATGATCTATACGATTTATTAATAAATTATTTTATTCATAAAATTACAGTGTTCTTTATTTTTTTTTTTTTTATATAGACACCTAACTTAAATGATGATTTGATTAGTTTTTTATTTAGATAGCTCTTCTCTTTTAAACTCTATTTAGCAATAGTTTTAAGATACTATTGGGACTAATCAGCTAGAATTATGTACGCAATTTGTTATAGTATAATGTAAGGATAGTACTGTATGCTGCTGTGATTACCTGTAGTACATGGTAATCATGACGATCCCAGGAATCCAAAAAGAGACAGAGGAAGAAATGATGGCATAGTAGTCGTTGACCACGAATATACAGACGGATGGATGAGCGAGGCGGAACTCTTGATGAGCTGCAGTGGTGTACCAGCCCATGAAGATGGGGGTGAACGAAATGGCGGCCGGCATTAGCCAGACGTTGGCGATCATGAACGAGACAGTCCGGTGTGTCATGGTGATGGGGTATTGCAGCGGCCGCACTATGGCGTAATACCGGTCTACACTAATACAACACAGATGTAGGATGGACACCGTGCAGAAGTACACGTCCAGAGAGTTCCATACGTCGCACATGAACTGACCGAACATCCACTTGCCCGTCAGCTCCACGCTGGCGTTGAACGTCATGGCGCAGAGAGCGACCAGCAGGTCCGCTAACGCGAGGGAGACCACGTAGTAGTTAGTGATGATACGTAGCTTGCGGTGGCGGAACACGCTGATGATGACGAGCGCGTTGCCGAGCACGGCGCCGAAGATGATGGTGCCCATGATGAGACCTCGGGCCAGCAGAGGCCCCAGTGACTGTCCGGGCACCTCAGTCTGCGTTGCAGGGGAGAGTGACGTGTTGGTGGCGATGAGCGCTGGGAGTGAGGCCATGTCACTTAGCATCTCCCGCGGACTCTGCGGCGCTCAGCGGACTGGCGCTGGTGGTGACGGCCACTCGCTCATCCTACAATCAGATAAACTATGTCAAACACCGATAATGCAGATAACTAAACAAATATTGGGCGATGTTCGACTGAAGATCTACTAATATATTAGACAACAAGTCCTATCTTAATCTATCTATACTTATTTAATACGCAAGCAGCTTTTTTGTGACAATTACTCCTCCGAAACTACTGAACCGATTGACGTGCTTTTGGCGTCATTGGAAAGTGCGTAACGAGAAGTTGTGCAGGAAACCTTCTTTTTAGGGAAATAATTAGAGAGTGAGGCCCTGTGGCCCTTTAAAGTTTCGTATTTCTCCATAAGATTGACATGGGAAACAAACATTGTTATGAAACTCCAGCTGTTGTCAGAAATTAAAAGTGAGAAGAAGGACATTATGTTAATTGTAAACAGTCAATACGTTTGCTAATTTAACAGTTTGCTACAAACACTTACTGACTTGGTTAAAATGAAATATTTACTATTTGAATATGGGTTGGCGTAGATATTACAATGGAAAAAATCGAGAGAGCCTGGATAATATGATATACAGGATATACTAAAACGAAAACTGAATTAACACTGTGCACTGCGTTTCTTAGTAATCATTGAAAGAGCCGGTTTGCAAACTATGGAAACATAGGAAAGTCATAGAACACCACCAAGGAGAAGAAATAGAAGTAATGCTTTTTACAAGATCAGCTTTTGAAAAATGATAAGATATTAACAAGAAATTTTGATTATATCGATCTGTTATGTACATCTTGAGTATTTCCATAATCTTTGAGTCGAATCTTTTAAAGTCATCATAAATTATTACTGTTATTCGTTTTAAAATAACGCCTGTGATACTTAGCAATTGCTCGAATTCGAGCAACAGGTACACTAGTAACTATTATTCCTTTATAAGTGTATGAAGGGTTTCTAGCGAGAGCACCACAACATGATCGAATTTATAAAAATATTTTGCCCATCAGCAAAGTAAGAACATGCATAGCCATAAGTCACCACCCTAAATACTCCACTCGTCTCACTCTAACATTGCGGATCAGAAACTAGTTAATTAGTTACGTTTTCTTGGCGTTTTGCTAAAAGGTTAGACTTACATGAACACATACTACTGTATTTTTCTGCTTAAGTTGGGAATTAATACCGTTGGGAAATAATAGTGCTGTAACTTAATTTGAATAACTTCCAAGTGTGTGGGGGACTTACAGTAAAATGTAAGCAATGGCATAGTAACAAAATGTTTCATTTTCAAAAAACAAATTGTACCTGGTAAAAAGACATTATCCAGTAGCTTCGCACACCTTCGGGTTTGCTTACATTTCAAATTCAGCTCAGCATAAGACCAATTAGTGATCCTGTTCAGAGAGAATAGTAAAAGGATATTCATATTCAAACCACTCGCTTGCTGTAACATTTCTCGCTTTATGGAATCTTATATTATAATACAGTATAGGATTCCTCATAGATATTTTAGAAAAAAAAGAAAACCATACCACTTTTAGATCGTAAAGCAAAAAGCTTAAGTGATTTTAAATCAGGTTAACTAACCGGATAAGCAATTTAATTGACTTTGGGATCCTATATAAGTTTCAGGAACACAACCTCTCTTTGTTTAGAGATAATTTCAAAGAAAATGAAAAATAGCATTTCCGTTCCTTATCTTCCCAAACTTTTGAATACTGCCTTGCAGGCATCCTTAGAAAATTCGTTTTTCATTATCTGGAAAAGATTTTTAATCATGTTGGCGAGTACTCGGTGAACAAAATGTTGCATGGTAAAAATAATAAGTTTTCTATAACTTAAAGTTGTATTATCAGTCTTGGGGTCGGACATTTTTTAATATTTTTAACAATTAAATGAATAAAAATAACATTATGATGAAAAATCGAGCAAAATAACATTTTTTAAAGTTTGTAAAAAAAAAAAACTTTTAGTGATCAAAATGCCTGACTACCACAGTAAGTTAGCAAACAGTAAGTTGGCAAAGCAAATCCATGAACCTAGTTCGAAATCGATTTTAGATAAGCCCTGTTTGTTTTGATGACTACGGAATTGATTGTTTTACTTACTCATTAATATTCAGCCTAGTAACTGTTGGTTTTGAAACAAACACTAATACAGATTCATACTTATTCTAGATTTGTAAGGTTTTAATTAAAATGTTCTGTCCCTTAACTCAGATAGATGAAATCGATAATAATTGAATAAAAGCGAAAAAACTAAAATGAGTTTTGTGTAAATAAACGTCAAATTACCAAATTGCCAACCGTTATAAACTAAGGAACAAATAGCTTTTTACCCCTGCCTTGGACTCAATTACAAATAAGGAGTAGTAATTTAAGTGGAAAGGAATAGTAAATTCGATTAGTTAAATTGCAGCCTCCAGTCAGGCTTTGTAACATTAAAGGTTCAATTATTCTGGCATTTCTGACATTGTTTATTTAACAGAGGTCGAACATCAAAGACATGCGTTGGGTGGATTAAATGGACCAGCGTTGTGAAAGTTAATATAAACTTTACTTTTCCTTTATAAGCGTTTAATGAGACCCGGTGGAAAGCCCCGTCTCTATTCTTTTACATGTGTCCTTACACATGCATTCATAATTTAATTATTTCCTTAAGTAATAAAATGTCAATTAAAGTTTGTATTACTTATTTATACACACTCTCACATCATCAAATATATTTTACACCTTCCAAGTCATTTGCCGGCATAAAGGTTACAACATTTTCTAACAGTTTGTAAATAGCTTTGTTATTAAGTTATAAAGGGTGGCGCAGAGAAACGGGAAATTTTGAAGTCGTTGTTGGTACACCCGTATGTCTTGTAGGATTGAGAAACGGAAGTCATGACGCCAAGTAGTAATGGATATTTAGTTGAGATGGAGCAGTGGAGTGGTGCGGAGCGTGCAGTCGCCGTGAGAGCATACTACAAAAATGGTGACAGTGCAATAGCTGAAAATGTTTGGATGTCCTTCTCTTTCATTTAAATGGACATGTCAATAAGCAGAACATGCGTTACTGGGCTCAACGAAAAACGTTTGTTACACAGTCCCAAAGTTACTGTATGGTGTGCAGTGTCTTGTCTTGGTGTGATTGGACCTTACTTTTTCGAGGATGAAGATGGTTCCACTGTAACTGTCACATTTCAACGTTACATTCATACGATAGAAAAGTTTTTTGCTCCACAGCTTCGTGCTTTTCCAAATATTGAAATCCACCAAACCTGGTTTCAACAAGACGGACGGAGCCACCTCACACACTGCCAATCTGTCAATGGCTGCATGGAGACGTTTGTTTGGGGAGCGCATCATTTCAAGGAACGCTAACGTCATTTGGCATCCACGGTCTCCAGACCTCTCAGTGTGCGACTTCTTTCTATGGGGACATATAAAGAGCGTTGTGTACCTGACTAGGCCAAGAAATCTTATTGGGCTCAAGACTCAGATCGAAGAACACGTCACCAACATCCTAGAGGACACAAAGTCTTCGAAATAGATTGAAGAGTAGGCCCAAAAGACAGCACTTAACTGATGTGGTTTTTAAAATGTGATTTTTAACATTATTCCTATTTCCAACATTTCTTATGTATTTTCCACACTTGACCAACACATTTTCACCATTAAAGATTTGTTTGTAAAATTTTCTTGTTTTATTATGATTAATTAAACATTTTTCATTTCTCTGCGCCACCTTGTATTACTAAATTCAATTCACTTTCTGTAACACCTCACTACTTATTTATTATGCAAAAAACTATCTTTATCTAGTTTATTATGTTAAAAACTATCTTGTTGGGTACATACATTTACACATTTCCTTAGTAATGGCGAGTATGGAATATGATAGCAATTGTAGCTTATCTATTGTGTTTTTTTAGTTGTTTTAGACCACCGAATATCTATAAATTCAATAACATTGTTTTTCAAAACAAGTTAGGCTATAGGCACAGTAGGCTACATTGACAGCGGAGAAGACGAGAGAATCAATCGATAATCCATTTACTTGCCGTGTCGAAGGCTGTGGTGGAGGGAAGGGGGATATTTTAATATCCGACTACAACGAGAACCGTGTTTACAAAAACAAATTAACAAAACTTAATATCAAACAAGTATTCCATTTAGAGACTTAAGCTTTGCTTTTTATAATACCTCCCTGTGTGGCTGCATAGTATCACAGAAAACGCAAATGTTTTCATCGTATTATTGTATTGCTGTCCATTAGTTGTTGATGTTCTATCTTGATCCACACAGCAGAAACATTCCTATCTTGCTTATGTAATATCAATTTTGTCATCTTTGATGACACACTCGTGAAATTATATCTCATTCTATAGTTCAAAGCTTATAGCTCTTTATTAGAGAAAAGAATCTTCGTCATGCCTTTTGTTGCTGGTCTCACATATAAAAACAAAATTTCTTGAACTTTTTAAATGAAAAAAGTTATAATGGAAAAGGCAAAAATACTTTTGTTTCTCAGAACCAGACAAAGATGGATTTTACAAAATTTGTGTTCATTGTTACTGTACAGTTAAGCTGAAAATTAATTGGTTTTCACTCAACACTTTCGACTCTGAGATTCAAATCCTCGATCAGCAAGACGGCAACCCCGCTCGGATATAGATCCACCAACAATGCTTCTGAACCCAAAGTTCCTGTTTTGTCATAATCTAGTCAAGGATGCATGTTAGGCGCGCAGATTTCATCCGTTTATTTTTTAGCTATGCTCTCAACTAAATGTTTGGTTATATTGCTCTTATACTGGCTTTTAAATTTAGTCTGCTGCTGAAGTTGAGAAACTTTAATGAATCAAAATATTTATTAAAAGTTATTAACAATAGTTAGTAGCTAAAAATTAATTTTAATCATTGTAGTTAGTAGTATAGTTGCTGTATTAGTATTTGTGAGCCAGGCTACATTTTTGAAACGTAACTGATCAGTCTGTAAAGCTGTGCGATTGTAAGTGAACACTGATACCTTCATACTTAGATGAGTATATATTTAGGGAAGA